CTGCCGATAGTATTTTTCCTGTATTAGTAGCTCGACACATCTCCCTATGCAGGAATGCCAAAACTGTCGAGCCCCAACTCAGTGATCCAGCCAGATGAAAATCGCCAAGATGCCGCAACCACATACAGTGAACTTGGTTGCACGATTTATCCGGCATCAACAACCCTCCTATCAGCTGTAGTATGCATGCCCGTGCATACTTTTTAACTTGATCCTCTGAGGCGTCCTCACTCAAATTCTTGAAATTTGCATCTAACCAATTTAACGGAATCCGATCCCTGTTAAATTTTCAAGGGACACCTCATAGATATTCCTGGTACAAAGAATTTCAGTTACCGTGCGCCATCCTTGAAAGCACATCTTCATCCACCGGAAGCCCCAAGTGCATAGAAATATCCTTCAGCATAATCGTGCACTCTGTGCACGGAAGATGGAATGTGTGAGTCTCCGGTCTCCACCGCCCCACTAATGCAGAAATCAAGTTTAGTTCTATCCTACAATGGCCTTCATATCTAACTATGTAACCGAATCCAGCCTCGATTAAATATGGTCAGACACGGGTTGTTATTGCTAACTTAAGGTTGCGGATAAAAGAATCTAATATATGGTCGCTCTCCTAAAAATATTAATAATTACAAAAATTAATTTATAAACTAATAATAAAAAATTAAATAAATAAATTATTACTAATAATTTAAATTAAATTAAAATGTAAAAATGTTACCGTATCAGCAAAATATCTATATATATGATTTCATCCAAACGAAACAAACCGCCTTCCATTTTATAACTATAAAATAATTAAATAATTAAATAAAATACTAATAAAATATTAAATAGAATAAAATATACCTTATAAATAAAACTTAACGAGCTGTGAGAGAATTTAAGAGGATTTGAGAGAATTTAGTATGGTGAAAATGGTTGAGAAGAGAGATATTTATAGGGTGGGATGGGGTGTAAACGGACGGTTGGGGCGGAATTAAAGCAGAAGGCGCGACCCATGAATTGCGCCTTACCCTACGTGGCATAAGGCGCAGCCCATGAACCGCGCCTTACCCTGCGTGGCGCCACGTCAACGTAAGGTGCGGTGCATGTGTCGCGCCTTACCCTACGTTGTGCCACATCAGCGTAAAGCGCGGTACATGGGTCGCGCCTTTCTACAGAGGATGTTAGATTGGAAAATATTTTTGATAGGGTGTCTGATAGGAAAATAAAAAAGTTAAAGGTGATTTATGGGGAAATTCGCCTCTGATTTTCATAATACTCGAATATAAATTTTTTGGAAGATTAGTTTAATTCACATATTCTTTAGTAGTTTCTTTATTTAAGGTAAAATTTTACACATAAACTAAATGATCTTAATTATTAAAAGACTTTTTATCATCTATTGAGGTCTCAAGTTTGTCTCACTTGCGGAGGCAACTTCTAATGACACCCATTAAAAGAAAATAATGATATATTTTTAAAAGAATATTAACGCCGTTAAACATAAATTAACACTAGTTATTCATTTTCATCTATTTAAAAAGAATTCTTCATATAATTTCTACATTTGATACCCATATTAAATGTTCTTTAAAGTTGACAGTCTAAAATATGTTTTCTAGTTCCACGTGAGGAATGTTCTTCATTGTCTAATGATTAAGAGTCTTTGTACAAATGTTAGATTATATTCACTCATATTTTTTAAAAATTAATAAAATTTTACTTATTCAGATTATAATAAATGTATATTTTTATCGAATATTAAGAAGATAGAAAACAAACTTTAAAAGAACAAATATATTTAACATGCAAATAAGCAGCCCCAGTCAGCCTGCCTCTTAGAGAATCGAGGTATAGCAATATAGGAATGGAACAACTCCAACATAAAGACAGCAAGCATAACCCTCCCACCACGTAGTGATGGGCATGAGATCCAAATTCAATGGATTTTAACTTGATTGATCGGATCTTTAAAAAAAATTGGGTTCGGATTGAATTTTTTAGAAGTTATGTTCGGGTCGGGTCGGGATCAGATTTGGGGTGAAAAATATCCGATTAGACCTGACCTAACCCAATCCGAGAAAAACATATATTTTTATCTTTGTATTTAAGATAATTACAATAATGTCTCTCTATATATTATTTTTCAATTAAATCATTATTTTTATTGAATAAAAATAATATTTTTAGAATAAATATATTATTTTGATTCGGGTCGGGTGGAGGGTATATATTTTTCATATCGGGTCAGGTTCGGGTGGAAGATGTATAATTTTTAAGTTGGATCGGGTTAACCAAAAAGCCGGCTCGATCTGACCCATGCCTATCCCACCACACGATTAATAATCAATAGGAAACTCCAAAAGTTAGATGACAACAAAAAAATCCCCAAAGGTATAATAGTTACTAATGTTATTGATTTATAACAAATCGGTCACTCGTAATTAATAGTCGTTATTGCAGTAACAAAATATTGATGTGACACATTAATTGACTTGTTTTGAATCATTTAATCATGCTCAGCCGTGAATCCATAAATATATTTTAGGATGGGTACACATATGTTAACAATACAAAATTTTTAAATATGATGGGCACAAATAAAATTCTAAAATAGACGTCATCAATAAAATAAATAATTAATCAAATAAAATTCACATTTTAGGGTGGCACAACACATATGCCACTGACCATGCTCGTTACTTAAAACTCAACTTTTCTCTTCCATCTTTACTCTATTCTTTTCTGTCTTACTTCTCTCTCCAAAATTACTTAATGAAAGGTTACACTTCTTTCGTCTCTAAACTCATTGAAGATGTATTTCTCCCTTCATGTTACTGATGTTTAAGTAAGGATGTATTCTCCAAACATCTCCCTTCTTTCGTTCTAAAGAGAACCGTAAAAGGTGTTGACTTTAATAGATGAAAATCAGGTTAATTTCTCTTGTTTCTAGTTTTATTGTCCTACATACCGATGAATCTATTGCCACATGAATCGTTGGCCGACCTTCAAACGTTTGTAATTTGCAGGTTCTCGCAAGGTTTAGAGGTTTCCCCTGGAAAAAAAGCTCGAAACAATAAGGACATCAACAACTCTTTACTTGAAGTTAGAATCAACGGTGAATGAGCTACAAAACATAAAGATTGAACTTCCTTTAACCCGATTGAGAAGGTTGACAAGGTGTCATTTTGCTCTTGAATTGACATATAAGAAGATTATGATATAGTTGTCACCAATAGACATTAATACAAATTATTACTTAAACAGATAAAAAGGGAAATAAACTCTCTAGAGCAAACCAAGAAATCAAAGACCCATAACATCGATTTCGGCTTCCATATTATTGTACGAATCAAAGAAGCAATGGTTGATGTTTCCTCCAACTGCATGGAGTTGACACTCAAGATAACTCGAACCCGGGCTACAATGTCATTAATGTAACTCTATTTTTCGATTCTGAACTTCTAAAGCCTGATTTTTTGTTTAATTCAGGAGAGAATAGAAGCATAGTTGAACTTACAAGTGTTATCAGTTGCACTTAAAATATTCTTCAAATTTAAGTAAATGGACTAAATTTCAAGTATGCAAATATTGCAGGGACTAAAAGTCCGAAAGCATAGTTGAACCCAAAGAATTGCAGAAAGTAGCTCCAAAGTGTGGATTATCTTCTTTCTTTGTCTAAATGAATTGATTGAGTTGCTAAAAAGCAAAGGCACCAATGGATGAAACATGCCAAATATGAACATGTATAACTAAATGATCCCTTTGATCATGATAATAGCAATGAATATCATACAACTAAATGAAAAAAAGTCATACAACTAAATGAAACGGCAACCCAGAATCTTCATCCTCTCTGAAGAAGTGTAAACAAAATAAAGTGTCCAAAGCAAGCCAAAAACTCCTAATAGTATTCATCTGAGAAGGTTGTTGCTCGGATCAAATGGGAGTCCGATTCCTTCGATCAACAGTCTCTTATCCACCAAAGCCATGGCCGGGGGACTTGATATGGCTGCTGTTGCATCCTTACTCAAACATCAGTAACATGAAGGGGGAAACATATCTTCAATGAGTTTAGAGACAGAAGAAGTGAGTGCAAACATTCATACAGTGATTTTGAAGAGAGAAGCGAGAGAGACATGGAGAGAGTACAGAGGAAGAGAAAAGGTGAGTTTTGAGCAATGAACATGGTGAAATGATGCCAAAAAGTCAACTAATATGTCAAATCAACATTTAGTTACTACAATAATAACTATTAAAAGTGAGGAATCGATATGTTATAAATTGATAATGTTGTAATTAATTTATTTTTTAAATTTTAGTGAAAAAACAAATAATTACTTAAACATCAATGACCACTTATATAGTTTACCCTTAATTTTTTAAGTAAAATAATCACTTTTCGTTGTATCAAAACCATACCATTAAATCCTTAAAATTTAAGATATTTTAAAAGTAGTATTTCTTATGAGAAAAAAATCAATACTCCTCATTGTATTTCTTTAAAAAAAAGAATAAATTACGAAAGTAATTAAATTTTACTCTTATTTTATTCATTGTTCTTTAAATCTTTTCAATTTTCTTACTAAACTTAATACAATTTTCTCACTAAATTTAATGCATTGATTTTTTTTCACTCATTTTAATACCGTTAACTATTTAACAACAAAGTAATAAAAAATTCAATGTGTTAATTTCAATGAAGAAGTTGAAAACTTTTAAAATTCAATAAACAAAATAAGAAAAAGAGTAAAGATAATGATGAATTTGTAATATACCCTTAAAAATATTAAGTTTAATAGATTGTAAATTTGGTCAAAGTTCTATAAAAACTCCCTCGATTATGTGTTTCTTCATTTAATCAATAATTAATCCTGGTAAATAATTTAAAATGACTTTTTTTTAAAAAATAAAGGCTATCATGCCAATTTTCATATGAGATGATAGAATATGTACACTTGACTTTGTTTTGTACTATTTGGAAGGGAACAACTACTCTTTAACCACAATAGAAGCTAAAAAGGTTTGGATATGAAATGAAATTATGTTACCTACAAGAATTAAAAAAACTAAACATACTGAAATCAGAATTCCAGTTTTACATATGAAAAGAACAACTTTGAGTTCCAATTGGTAACTGGGCTCCTTACCTCCTCTCCTATTTAATTCCACTAACTTTACCTTCCAGTTTTCTCCCTTTGCATCCTACAATCATCAATCCATATCCATGCCAGACATCAGAATTCGAGCAATGGAACAGCGACGATGGATGCAAGAAAGAACATATTAGTCATACACTTTCGACTCTTCATGAATACCAACTCTACAGTTTCAATCAGTGCTTCCCCGCCTTCTTCCCACCCTGAAACAGAGAAAGATAACGGGGAGAACTTGTTTTGCACCACAAAATTAAACAACAAACTCCAGGACAGAAACACTTGCAATTATCAACTGAAAGCCATTTACAATGAATCAAACTGAGAGGAAGGAAATGTCTTCTCAAAAATGGATAAATAAAAGCTGAAACCGAGGAAGAGGATGTTCAGAAACCTATACAAATACATGTTAAGTTGAATTGTTGTCATAGCAGCTATCAATGTCAAAGAAAGCATTAAATCTCTTTTTTATCAGTGGCATATTCTGACATAGGTCACAGGGTCAACTGGTAAAAATTGATCCGTTGCACAGAAACAATAGGATGCAGTTATACATATCCTCCACTGACTCAATTTATTGCTTCATGGTAACCAAGGTTTCTTACCTTGTGAGGTGGAGTTCCTGGTCTGAATGCGTTGTTGCTAACGAATCCACCCTTTCCTTTCTTCTCTAAAGATTTAAGAATCTGAAATGAACAAGTTAAACTATCATCCACACTCATCATGGCACCTGCATTATCAAATTCCCCGCAGTAGTTTGGAGCAGAGAATATGGTCACCAACTGTCGCTTTGCAAAGAACTCATAACCATCTTCTACGACCTAAACAAAGCATTAAAAAGAAAAATTTACAAGTCACTAAGAATACATGGATGCAGATATCTTTAGAACTAGGATTTAGTCAAGTCTGCCCATATTATTATTCTGCCAGTAACACGAAGGTTCCAGGAACGTGGACATAAGTGCATCTGCTGACATGCAAAGATATTATCTATACTGATGTACTGAATTCTTCATTTTTCACATGCTTCCCACAATTTCCTCTATGTCATCAATTAATGAAAATTTGGAAAGACAAAAAAAGTGGAAGCTTCCGTACACCTATGCTGTAAGCCAATTCAGAAGGTCAATGCAAACGACAATACCTGGTGAGCTCGACAAATGAGATCAAGGTCATGTTTTTGAAGGAATTCAGAAACTATATCAGCACCAAAAGTAAATGAAACACCCCTATCATTCTCTCCCCAGCCGTCAAGATCTTTATCAGGATCAGCCCAAAGAAGATCACAGAGAAGGCCCTGATCTGGCACATCAACAGGCCGAGAAATCTTCTGGATCTGATCCAATTTTTTCAACTCAGGAGATAAACCACCATGCATGCAAAGTATCTTCTCATCAATTAGTGCAGCAACTGGAAGGCAGTTAAAGCAATCAGTAAACAACTTCCAGACACGAACATTAAACCTTCTTTTGCACTCATCATAGAAACCATATATACGGTTAATTGATGCACATTCATGGTTGCCTCTAAGGAGAAAAAAATTCTCCTTGTATTTGATTTTGTATGCAAGGAGAAGGCAAATTGTCTCAATGCCCTGCTTGCCACGATCAACATAGTCACCTAGGAATAAATAGTTTGCAGTAGGAGGGTATCCTCCATACTCAAATAAGCGTAGAAGATCAGAAAATTGACCGTGAACATCTCCTGCCAAAATAGTATGAAAGTGAATGAAGATTATTACATCCCCAATTTGTTAAAACTTGCTAAACAAACAGGAATTAAATTACATATAAGCAAATCAAAGCATGCACACCAAGCCTGTTCGATGAAATTCAGGTAGAAGTCCAAGCCTCTTCAAGGTAAAAGAATTACCAAACATACCTTACGGACCAAATAAAAAGGCCTTAAAATTATTGAGACTGTGATCTTATACACACCAAAAAGTGAAATATAAAAATCACAGAGCTCAACAGCTTCGGAGAAACTTTAACTCTTAACTCTAATGAACCCTTTTGACATATGCTGTACTGATGACAACTTACTAGACATCCACCCCAACGCACATGCAAACAAGCAAACAAACAAAAAGAGAGAGAAGAAAAGAAAAGAAATGAATAGGAAATAAGGAGCAAAATCCAGTTTTAAGGAAAGAAACAAATAAACAAACATAATAGTGCAGCTTTAAAGTCTTACTTTAAATTCAACCAGGCACAAAGCATTTCAAGCTCCATGCCCTCCATCTAAGGGTTAACATAATGCTGGCAGTTTAGAATCTTCATATGAAGACCGTCAGTCTCCTCATAATATGTTCTAACTTCTCCTTGATATGAGAACAAAAACTAGACTTACCAGAAATGCTTTTATTATTTTCCACCACAGAGGGCAATGTAATTTCTTTTTACTTCCTGATGGCACAGTCAACAACTAGCTATAATAGTTGAGTCCTGGTGACATGCACAATTTCTATATTTTTACACAAATTTCATCCATTAATGATGTTATCGCTTCCCAAGAAACAACCTAGAGTTGTATTACTAAAAAATGAGACTACAGTATAGGCAAAAACTGAATGTAAATAATTGCAAAACTCACATTCCAAAAGCTGGGGGAACCAAATAAGGAACTAGCATAATCTTCTCGGACTGCAAAAACTTGCTGGAGGCGAATCGATAAAGTATCTCAGGTTTTATCTCCCAATAATGCATTACCAAATGCCAATAACAATTCAACTTACAATCTAAGTCCAAAGCACTTCGGTCTACATTTACTGCTCTTTACAATCTTACTAATTATTTCCTTTCCGTGTCTTCATAACATTTACATCAAGTCAATAGTATCTTCCATAATTCACCATTTCACCTCAATTACTTAATTACAATTAGAAGCTGAAGATTAACAGATACAATGCTTACAAAAAGAAATATAGAATTGCCAGAAAGGAAGTTACGAAAAATTACCGCAATATAAAGCAACAATCGATTAACAACCATTAACCAGTTTTACATAACAAGAAAAATAAAAACTTTAAATTATTAATGATTACCACAAATCTTGATAGGAGCCTCAAGCTCAAGAAGATTAGGCTGACTAAGAAAGCACTCTTTGGAGGCAACACAAAGCTGCTTTATCTCAGCCTCCGTCAACTGCGCTTGCTTGGTAGTCCTCCCATTCTTTGTCCCCAACAGCCTCCTTATGATATTATCAAGCAAATTTCGTCCATCAAAAAGAAACCCTAAAACACAAACGACCCTTTCTCTCAAGCGGGACCAGGAAACAAGAGATCCTCGTTATTCTTCAAATGGGCTTCGTTTGTTTTTATCGGTGATTCATGGAGAAACAGCGAATAGGTTTTTAAGAGAATTGGGGACCGATATTGTGCTACACCTCTTTTACAAGTCCTTTTAATAACCCTTATTTTGACTTTTACAGGTCTTTTTTATAACCCTTATTTTGACTTATTTAGAGGAATATGTGTAAATGAATTTTTTTAATAGTTTCGGTGATTATCATGGCAATAAACGAGTAGAGTTGGGTTTGAGTATTGTTAAGTTCAACTCGATTCGGTTTGAAAACTCTAGAGTTTAACATTTTTAAATTCAACTTAAATTCGAAATAATGAAATGAAGCTCGAAAAGATTTGAAATAAAAAAATCTTTAAACTTAACTTTGTTGAAGCTCAAACTCCAACTCGAATATGAACTTTAACTACATAAAAACTTTATATTGTATTTTTAAAAAAAATTAACATATAAATATTAATATTATTAATAATTTAATTTTTTAAAAAGTAAAATTTTAATATACTATTTTTTAGAGTTGCTCTCAAACTTTTCGAATCTAGTATCAAGTAGCTTGTTTCAACTCGTTAAGAATTCGAGTCGAATATTTATCGAGCTTGACCGTTTCGATCTGAAATAGTTCACGAACTGTCTCGTCTCAATTACCCGATTACGAAAGCATATTTGTTTATATTTTTTTTAATTATTACATCACATTTTAGAAACATAATTGATCGTACTTAACATTGAGAGAGAATAATACATACTTTAGCCATTAGGATCATCCAATTGGTCTATATAAAATGAAAATTTTAATATTTTAGGCTAAACTAAAAAATATGTTTAGGATCAATTATCCAAATAGTCGTTACAGGGATGAACATTTAATCGAGTCTAGTCGAGTTGAGTTAAAAAATTTAAGTTATTTAAATTGACAAATCTTATTTTATAACTCAAATTTTATTTGAATTTTTTTAAATCGAGTTGAGTTATTCGAGTTTTAGTTTAAATTTAATTGTGAATATTTATAATATTATGATATTATTTATTTTAATTTAAACAATTTTTTATAACCATATACAATTTATATGTGATAAACATATATCATACAGAGTCAAGGTGCTCAACTTAAACTTGAAAATCAATACAGTAATTACTAAAATTTTAAGTTATTCAAATTCTATTTTACAACTTGAATTGAATTTAAAAATTTTCAAATCATTCAAGTGAAGGAGAGTTTTATTCACCCTTAAGTACTAAGTTATAAGACTAGTTTATTTCGATTATTAAATTCTTTTTTCATTAAATTATTAAACTCAGCCGTTAATAGATAATGTCAAAGTTAAAAAAGTATATGTAATAATAATAATTTAATTTTTTATATTTATCCATTCGATGAATTTAATTTTAGTTTAAAAATCAATAGATTTAATCTTTAATATTTATAATTCCTTTTATTTTGATACAAAATGTCTCCAGAAGGAACATGGCCAAACTCATTTCTTATTTAACGGTTGACAAAATATATATATATATATATATATATATATATATATATATATTTTATATATATATATATATAATATATATTATTAATTTAGAGCGATTATATGATAATATATGTTGTAAATTCTCAACTATTTAACAATAAAAGCACAATTACCCTTACAATCTATGGTGCTTGAACCTAGAATCTCTAAAGATACCAATCGTCTCTTTAACCACTAGAGTAGCTTGTTCGTGCCAATATATTTTAAACTATAATCAATATAAAGATATAAAATTATATATTTATAAATTAGTATATAATAAATTATTAATACAATGAGTACTATTTATTATTTTTATAAAATACTAATACTATTAAATATTCATAAATATATTTTAACATATTAAATATTGTTTTAAATAATATTTGAATATTATATTAATACTAAATATATAAAATGATATTTATTTATGTTGTTAAAGTTTGACTCGAATTCAAAGTGACATAAATTAATTTGGTAAAGCAATAAACCTACTTTGATTAAAAGTAGTAAACATTGTTTGATTAAAAGTATATAACTTTATTAAAGTAGATTTATACTTTATTTAGTTTCATTTGTAATCAAGTATATATCCATATAAATAGATACTAAGGATTAGAGTTAGAGATTAGTTGTCCATGAGGACTCCTCTTGTATTCTTCTTCTCTTGACATGAGTAAATTTTCTCCTCTTCTGCCCGTGGCTTTTTTCGAAAGATTTTTTCACATAAAATCTTGATGTCTATTTTATTGGGCGATCACTATGCATGTAGTTATATTCTAAAAAATTGGTATCAAAGCGTCTGGGTTGTTTGACTCGATCACGATAATGATATATTTGAAGTATGAAATTTCGTTGTTGGATCGCAACACCATTAACGCTGTGAAAAGTAGAGGTACGAAAACTTGTAAGAGCTATCTTATTTTGATGAATAGAGAAAGATTGTCAAATTTTATATTCTGCAGGGTTCAACAATTGTAGAAGATAATCTATTATTTTTTTCTTTGTGGCAAAGGAGAATTTTGTGTTGAACAAAACAATCGTGATGATTTTGGGAGCAGAAAAATATTATACTTCGTGGGCATTGCGGATTTGAGAAGAAAAATAGAGTTCAGTTCTGTTGGCATAACATATTCGAGAAGAATAAAATTTAGTTACATGAGGATAACGGAAACAATAGAATTGCCATTGATGTGCATGACATTGCTTGTAGTGAACAAGTTGTAAGCAAAGTTAGAACTTATGATGTTCTTACTGATGTGAAGACTAAATCCAAGTTTGGCAAGTTTTGGATTCAATTAACAATCATTGTTGAAAAATACCCCTCTAAGGATTTCGTGGAAAAAGTTGAGAGTATGTTCTCAAGGTGGAGACGTTGTTCATTGAAGTGAAGAATTGTTTTTATTGAGTTTGGGTATCTCATCAAATTTGGATGTTTTGTCTCGAAACCTTCACACTTTCAGAATTTGTATCAATGTGGAGATTTGTTAAAGTTTTTCAAAATTGAACAAATTAATTTGGGAAAATAACAAATCTAGTTTGAATAAAAGTAGAAAACTTTATTAAAGTATATTTATACTTTATTTAGTTTCCTTTGTAATCAAGTATTTATCCCTATAAATAGATACTACGAATAAGGGTTAGAGATTAGATTGTACATGAGGTCTCCTCATGTAACACCCATTCCCAGTGTATGTTCCTGTACACAAGTGTCACATGACTTTTAAAAACATTTTTCTTATTTGTAAACCCATAAAAGTTTGTTTCGAATTAAAAAAAAAACAAAACCATTTTAATATAAGATAAAACATTCGTTGTAACATATTACAAAGTTATAACATAAATACATTACAAAACATTTTTCTTAAATTCATATACATGTCATCTAATTATTAAAAGAATACCTGATTGTACTATAGTTACTGATTAGTCAACCTTGGATTGATGTTCTCTGTTGTACTCCTTACTCTGATAAGTCTTTGCTTTTACCTACATGTGAAATCAACACACGTTAAGAATTTACTTAGTGAGTCATAATAATGTAAATGAACTACAATTTATACATAAGTAAATCATGGCTATTTGATTACGAACTAACTCGCATATTCCATAAGGATCAGATCAATCATTAACAATTAAACCAAATTTCTTTCATACAATCATCAAAATTATTCTTAGTATGCCCATCATACCTATTTTTTTGTATATTTTCCCAATTATTATTTATTTGCACTATGTATGCTAAATGAGAAAGTGATGTACATATATTGCACCCAAAGTGCCAAATAGTCAATTATCTTTTATAATTACCATGAGTGGCACCTTTTATGCCGAAATGCACCATTATGCATTTAACTGTCATTAGTGGCACCTTTCTGTCAAAAATGCACCGTTAGGCACTTAACTTGCATTAGTGGTACTGTTCTGCAAAAAATGCACCATTTTTCATCTAACTTGCATTAATGTCACATTTCTCCCAAAAATGCACAGTTAGGCACTTAACTTGCATTAGTGACACCTTTATGCCAAAAATGCTCCATTTTTCATCTAACTTGCATTAATGACACCTTTTTGCTAAAAATGCATCGTTAGGCACTTAACTTGCATTAATGGCATCTTTCTGCCAAAAATGCATCATTTTTCATCTAACTTGCATTAATGACACCTTTCTTCCAGAAATGCACCGTTTTACATTATAGAGCAGTTCATACTCTAAATTTATTCATAATATTATTTCCATACACATTATAAAAATATATCAATTAATATAAAACATACATTAAATCAAAACATTGGAGATTGACTCTTTACGAGTCTTCTTCATCCCATATAACTACAATAAATGCACTCACCTAATATGCCTCCCTAGTATGTTGTAATGATATCCAACTACTAGACAACTTTATCCTTTCCCTTTTTCTTATTTGACTCGGGAGCTTGGTTATGATCTACACAAGCATTCATTAAGTACACATACCATACCAATGTTAGTATACTCTCTAACATTTATACTTTAATAATACTCAAAAGTACTATTATTTTCAATTTCTATTACAATTTCAGCCTATCTTACAATTTCAGGTTCAATAGTATCGGTACCCCTACCATGGTATCGATACTTCTATATTATGGTACTGATACTCCATTTCAGTATCGATACCATTTCTACATTTTGGAATCTATGGTATCGATATCTTTCTTGTAGCATCGACACCCATAGCAGTAAAGATACTAATTGCAACAGTATCGATACTGTTCATCGTAATTCTTTAAATTTAAACCTATAGTATCGGTACTGTTCTTCCAATACCGATACCCCTACCCATATTTTCCATTTTTTAGCACAAAGTTTTCATAAATTTGATTAAATCCCCTTGATTTTACCTCCAACAATACTATTAAACTCTTCTTTACTTATCCCAACTAACTTTCCTTCATTTAGCTTCTTATAAAATCCAAAAACTCCAAAGAACATCTCAAACTAAGAATCATACTACTTTTTCTAACATGTTTTTAATCACAACCAATGTTCTAATCTCTTATTTACTTCTTTGACAAGTCAAATATACTAGTAAACCTCAATAAAAACTCATATTCCAACATATCATTCAAAAACCCATTTACTTAAATCTCAAATAAAACATTCATCTCTTAGTTTTAATCCTCTTTAACCCTTCCTTAAGCCTCTATAACACTCAAGGTTTTAAGAACAAACCAAAAATGAATTGAAAAGCTAGCTAGATGAAGTCTTGCCTTTGGCTATTGAGGAAAGAACTTTCACGGGGAAGAAGAAGATAATAGCTTAGTGTATTTTTCACTTGTTCCTTTCCCCTTTTCTTTCGACGATCGCACTTCCTTTCCAGTCATCCCTCTCCAAAAACGAATGTCGTTATAGAAGCCGAGAGAACTCTCTGAAAAGGTCCAAGAAACGATTGGACTCGCCAACAAATCAACTTTATCTACCATTTTCCTCTTCTTAATCTCATTTTCCATAGAGTTTGTCTCTTTCTGTCCTTTCCTCAAGGTACCTTACTGACCTAAAACCCCCACAAGTTCATGACTATGGATGTCGTTTTAGGGTGTTAAACAGGTCACAACTTTTTTTATTGCATTATGTTTTGCCCATTCCATTTTTTTCTCTTTGAAGCTGGTTAGTTTTATTTCCATTGTTACTGCAATCTTGCAAGTCATACTGCATTTATTTTTATTTTGCACTTGTTGGAATGGTGCTTAAGCTTTTTGGGCTATGGCGGGGAGCAATCCAAATTAATTTTAGGAAATATTAGGTTTTAAAATAAAGTCACAAATAAAAAAATTTGGAGTTGCCATGTACTTTTGGGTTAGGTGGGTCAAATACCTAAAAAATATCTTTTAAAATAATTTTAAGAAAAATAATTTTAAAAGATACAAAGTGATATGCGTTTAATCAGAAACTCGTTTTGAAAAGGATTCGGAAGTCGATTAAGCGTGAGGAATGATGAGCACCCGCACAACACCCAAGATCGATCGGTACCTAAGCGATTATACGTCATCTAAATATTGAAATTTGCAAATTTGAATATACATTTAAATTATGATTCTATTAGAAAAAAATTTCGAGAAAGATAATTACTTCGTAGGGACAATCCTAAAAAACACTCATTTTAAGTTCAGGCTCGTTTTTATGGATTCTCCATACAAAATAATATTGCTTTAATTTTTTTTGTGAAATTTACATATTTAATATATTCGAAAAAGTATCAAAAATAAAAAGGATACAATTTCGCATGAGCAATCCTTGAAAACACTCTAATTGTCAGTCAAGAAGTATTTCCGTAGATTCTCTATATGAGACAATATCTTCTTAATTTTTATGAAAAATACATATATTTAATGTATTTAAAACTCACTTGAATCTAAAAAATATATAATTTTGTACGAACAACTCTCGGAAACACACTACTTATCAGTAAAGTCGTGTTTCCATAGATTCCTCGTACAAAATAATTTTTACCTCGTTTTTAGATTAATAATACATGATCGAAACCTAAACAAAGCATATTAAAATATTTTATGGGTAATAAAATAAAACAATATGCGTACGAATATGCTATTAACAAGTTGATATTTAATGTAAAAAAGGGCTACATAACGTGTGTATAAACAAATACCTATATATATTATAAGACAATAGAACGCAACATATATGCGCATAGAGAAACATAGTGGTATCGTGGAAAAGTAATGGCTAAGATGATGTAAATGAAAATATGACTATTGAATATAAAAATCTAAAATAGGGATTCAATTGAAAGAAAAGTAAAATGCAAGTTTAATTTAAATATCAAAAAAATAAATGAACACAACAAGCACAAGGGATTGTATCGAATGAACAATAAAATTACTCGGTCACAATAAGAGTAAGCAGAAATAAAATCACTGAATCAGAAATAAGCAAATATATTCATGTACAAAAATAAAATGAAATGAACTAGTCGTGCAAAATCAAAGGAAAATAAGAAGTACTAAAACTGTTAAAAGGACCAAATTGCATTCCATTAAAAATGAGGGAATTGCATACGAAAATAACCCACACATTCTCCAAAGCACGTGGATCCATTGTTGGGTTAAACCCAACTCACACATAAGCCATGTAAAAGCTCAAAATTTTTTGTAAGGTTTCATTTTTCATTTTTTACAAAACAAAAACACCACAAAATGCTCTCAAAGAGCTTAGCCATTGCCAGGAGAGAACACTGGTCATCGGTGCCATTAACCGCCACTCACGGTGGTGTGGGTGAGAAGCAAACAACTAAAAAATGACACCCTTTTCTCTCAAAACCTAGATTTAAAGTCTTTTCTACCCAAAAACAAACAACCAAGCCTAGATCTAAGAAGATACCTTTCGGTAACTTAGATTCCTATGATCTTTGAGCTCCCCGATGAACCACGAGTAGAGTAAGTCTTCATCTCCTTCTCTTTTACTTGCTCTTTTCTTTTTATGTTTCCTTTTGGGTTTTTCGAAAAATCTCTCTTTGTTTCTTTTTTGTTTTCGAAAAAGTCTCCTTTTTTTTCTCTCATTGTCTTTTATTCTCGTTCGAAGCCTTCTTCTTTCCCTTTTGGTTGCATGTTGAAAGTTTTAATCTTTTTGATTGTTTCTTTTTTTTACTTTCAATGCTATGGTCGAGGAGTGAAATCTGGCGGGGATGTATGTAAAGACTGAGTAAAATATTTTTACCCCATAACTTCTTGTTTGCTTTCGTGATGACCTGTGATGAACTCGCGGTGACGGCAATAGGCCTCGGGAACCGGTGAGACGAGCGTGTGCATCTCATACGGGTAGAGAGAGACGCGCGTGGAGGCGATAGATAGTACAACTGCTTAGGACGAAACCTTAATCATCAAAGAATCATGACCGTTAGATCTATGCAGATCCAATGGTTGAGATGAGGTGGTGGCATATTACTAATGATAGGTTAAGGAAAACCCTAATCTGGATAAATATGGGCCATTGGATCAAGCATAGATCCTAGGGTTTCGAGTCTTGGGCTGCTAGGTTGTAATGTAAGTTTGGGCCCAATTGTATTTTGGCTGTAATTTTGGGACTGTAAAAAACTGTAATAATAATAATAATAGTAAATAATAATAATAATAATAATAATAATAATAACCCGGAAAAAATGGGTATTTATAGCTGCCCCTCTTTGCTCATGTTTGTGTTAACAAGAATAGGGCAAAGATAAAAAGACTACACGTTTTTGCCCGGTTCCATCTCTATGTTGTCTCAAGTGAGACTGACAAATAACCCAAAGGATTTAATCATCATGCTCGAAAAACTTACTGATGGTCCGAAGGACTTACCAATTTTGGAAATAGTTTACTAGGTAAGAAACTTTGGAAATTGCTTTCTTACTTTTCAAAAATTTCATTTTTTGAAAATACTAAATGAGAAACTTTGAAAATTGCTTCTTCATTTTTTGAAAAATCATGTGAAAGCATCTTGCCCGAAGGCTTTAGGGACAACCCAAAGGACTTATCATCTCGCTCGAAAGACTGACAGATGACTTGAAGGATTTAATTGTCATGCTCGAAAGACTTACTGATGGTGTGAAAGACTTACCAATTCTCGAAATAGTTTGCTAGGTAAGAAACTTTGGAAATCGCTTTCTTACTTTTCAAAAATTTCATTTTTTGAAAATATTAAATGAGAAACTTTGGAAACCGCTTTCTCATTTTTCAAAATTCATGTGAAAACATCATGCCTGAAGGTCTTATAGACAGCCCGAAGGGCTTATCATCTCGCTCGAAAGACTGACAGATGACCTGAAAGATTTAATCACCATGCTCGAAAGACTTACTGATGGCCCGAAGGACTTACTAAATAAGAAACTTTGGAAAAATTTTCTTACTTTTCAAAAATTTTATTTTCATAAAAGATTTAAATGAGAAACTTTGGAAATCAGTTTCTCATTTTTCAAAACAACTTAATGGTCTGGTAACATGCCCCACTTCAAAGTAATGCTTCTTTTGTGGATTGGGTCACTATGTTCTTCAGGTTCTACCCCTCTAAACATGATTTCCTACATTTAAGGTTTGGATTCTAGCTTTCACTTGTTGGGATTTTGACATCATGAATATTCTATTTTCACTGGAAGATCTGTAAAAACCATGCGTTTATGTGTGAAATGTGAATGTAATTAAATATGTCAATGTAATGCATTTTATTTTATGCAAATGATTTTCTCATGAATGTATAAATGTTGATTCAATTTTCCTTTGACTCAAAAGTGGAGAACTTAGTCTTCTTCCACTTGATCACTATTCTCTAGGGTTTTCTCAAATATCAGTGTAGCAACTTATAATTTCAAGCTTGCATTTTTGAAGAGCCATTTGATCAACTTATGTCCTTGTGTCTTCTTTGCCTCTTATTTGTATTAAAGTCTCAAAAGAAATGTTTCATTTCTTGAATTCTTGTTGTGGTCAGAAATATAACCTTGATGCCTCTTTCTGTCTTTGACTTAATTGCGCTATCAGAGTTGTCTTTCCAGGGATCTACACTTAATTTATGCTCTATTGTTTACTCTACAATGTAAGCTCTGCCAAATTCATGGCATGCCCCTAACACTCCAAGTTGTGCGGCTCATTCTCAATGTCTTTTCGGTCTGAACCTTGTTATCTCAACATGATTTGGGTCTTTGGTCATGCCCCAATGTGGGTACTTTCATGACTCGTCCATATTTAGGCGCCAAAATTTCATCCTTTATTGGTCTCACTCTTGCATCATTTATCAAGAATCACAAGTCCATCTTATTAAGGTGATTGCATGCTTCATGATTTATTATTGATGTTGACGATGTCACAACAAAGTGTGAGAAGTTTTGTTCTTGAGTCTTTTGATCTTTCAAACTTCATTGCTTCAAAGGAAAACGAAGAATGTCTTCATTTCTCTTATGCCTTTTGTTCTTCTTGGTTTGGCTCTTATTCTTTCCTCCCACTTCTTCATTTAAGGCAAAACAAGTCTCATCATCTTCAAGGACCTCCTTCATTCTCGAGAGATTGTCCTGTTTGAAAATGTTTTTGTCATTTTTACTATTTTTAAGTTAATAATACCCATTACTTCGGGCTTACAATTAAAAAAAGTAATCAACTCAATGAATATTGGGTAAATCAAATATTAATTTTTCTTTTTCAAAAATACTTATGGTATATATAGATCTTTGACAAGTGTTAAGATGAAGGGTTGGTTCTTTATTTTTTTAAGGTTTCAATCCTTGAAATGCCCCTCATTTCTCGGTCATTGTGAATAATGAGACATACCCTCTATATTGGATTGACATTTTAATCGGATGCAGACAAAATGCATAATCAATTACTAAACTTTTTAGAACACTTCTATTTCGGTTTTCTGAAATATTTCATTTGTTCAGACTTCATAGATTCCTTTAGCAGAGGTAGTGCAAAGACATTATTCTAAAGACATGATTCATGAGTGTCTGTGTGAAGTTGACTATAAT